AGGTTCACTTTTTTAGAATGCTAAAAATCAGAGCTGCAATAAGAAGGCCTGGATCAAACCGTATTAAGTTAGATTCCAGCCTTAAATCCGATGGGAATCTGTGGCCAGGCTTGAAAATATAGAATTACAGATGTAACCATGTAACCTGCTCCACTATTTTAGCTGATGTTTCTCTACTCTGTTTTATTTCTGGCTTTCCACTCGACCACAAATAAAGTGCATACATGTAGATGGCCATGTACCAGCCATGACTCTGACTTCTGACCTGCAGGCCTACACAGCTTGTCTCAGCGACTGCACATTCAGGGTTCAAAGCGGAGGAGAGGCTGTGCAGACCTACGATTTCTCTCCACTGTCTAACGTCACCGGCTTCACCGGCAGCCCGCGTTTCACCAACAGAGGCCTGCGGTACTTTCATCACTTTAATCTGAATCTGTGTGGGAGAGAGGTAAGAAAGTGACCCTAAGGATTTTATTGCTAAAGATTGTTGTGTGATTGGAGAGTTTTGTTCCCACAGAGTCGAGTGCCAGCCTCCTGTGTGGACAACGTAACGGAGAGTGGGAAAGAGGTCAAAGGCTACGTCTGCCAGTCCACTGTGGTTCCTTCTGAGATCCGCAGTCAGAGTATGGTGTCCTCACAGCCATTTGTCATTGGTGACACACTCATTGGTATGGAGCTGATCTACGGTTTTCAACTGATCTAATTAAATGAACATGTTTGAAGCATTTTTTTTTTATTTCAGGCTAAAAACAAATTAGGCGTTTCTCCGTTTCTATAACAGATGAAGTTTTAGACTGTGGAGACAAACAGGCTCTAGATCAAAGTAACCGAAAATAGCTAAATAGAAAAAAAGAAAAAAAAAAGAAAAGAAAAAGAACAGTAGACAAATGTTATTGTATGGGATACCATATGTGGCAAAAACATGTTATATCCCATCTATAAGCAGGGGTTTTTTATGCTGGTCTGCAGGGAAAGGCACTGTGAGTTTCCACCTGTGTGGTTTGAATAGTTTGAAGTGTAGATAACAGCTGTTTATTTTTGTCAAAAATCTTTAATCTGACTATTTATCTCAAAGTTTACAAATAAAAAAGAAGAAAAAAAAAGCTTACAATTTTAGATCTAGTTTCCTCTTGAGTTTTCCAGCTTCCAGTTTTAGTTTTAATGTGATGGGGGATATTATTGGCTTTTTCTTAATTTTTTTCTTTTGCCAACTATCAAATATCAGCATAATGAGCTTAGTAATAATATGTGAGCTCTAAATGTCACTGGGTACAAGTCCACAAAGGCTTATTTTACTTTTTTTTAATTATTGTTTTATGCCTATGATAAAGAGAATATTACATGTTTTGATGAACTTTTTTAAAAGGCAGAGCGATCCTCCATCCAACTTTAGACATACTTTGTGTTCTGGAGTTACTAGAACAGAAACCGTCAAAGCATTTGAAGTGTGTGCATGTGATCAAACAGGTAAAAATGTTTGCGTTTCATTTTGAAGGTGTGACCACCGAGACGACTCTGGAAGGCATCTCCTCTCCATCGTGGATGTTCCCCCCAGCTTCACTTCAGCTGCCAGATGTCATATTCTATTACAAGTAGACAAAATGACAAATATTCACTTTATTGGAACTTAATGCCATTATCATACAAAGACAATATTTAGGAATGTTCTTTTTTTTTCTTATCTACTTTGGATGAAGTCAGGATCTAACTATAGACAGTAGTTTTTCAGATTTACTCTATAAACAAAAAGATTCTTTCAAATCTATATAGTTAAAGATTTAATTTTAGATTTTATATATATATATATATATATATATATATATATATATATATATATATTTTATTTTTTATTTTTAAACTCAATTTAATACAATTGTACACCATCAACATTATGCAGGTCCAGTGATACAACCCAAGCTTGCAAACAGGGGAGGTCAGCCGCTGTCAGACTTCGATGCAATCCCACAGCCAACATTAAAGACCTCATCACGTTGCCCAGGTGCTGCACAAATTACCTGAACTCAACTTCTGACCTTTAATTTACACACTCAAAGTCTAACAGCCACATTATTCACCATCATTTGACATTATTGAGCTCACAGACGGTGACCTGCGCTTAACGGAACACTCTGAGGAGCCTGCGATTTTATCTCTGACCTTGTTTCCTTCACAGTAAATGTTCTGAGGGGACATGTGATGGTTGCACTTTCCATTTCCTGTGGGAGAGCCAGCACGCATGCCCGCTGTGCACCACAGATCACTACCGAGAGATTGTCAGCGCTTGCATCCAGGGGATCCAGGTATCAAACTCAACTCGTCAGTCAAAGTGTATTCATGTGTCAATTGCAATTTAACCAAGAATTTGTGGTAAAACCTCAGCACTTCTCCTCAGATACATTGGAGTTTGTGATATGATAAAACTGTATAAAAATCCAAATGTTTGGCACCTTTTCAAACTAGAGCTGACTTTAAATGTGAGGAAATCTGACTATTTGCGTCTTGCAGAGAACCACCTATGTGTGGCAGCAGCCTCTGCAGTGTTATGGAGGACAATCCCTGCCACCACAAAAAGTCAGCGCTTGTGTGACTATGGATTTCTGGCTCAAGCTTGGCGTTTCCATTGGACTGATTGCTGCTCTGCTTCTCATCGGCCTCAGTTGTTATTTCTGGAAGAAGACGCGCAAGTAAGACTTAGACTTTTTAAACATCCTCTCACATCTTATGACATATAATGTGTGCAAGGACGTTAGCATGTACAGACCACGACCAAATCCTTTTGTAATAGATGCTATCTGATTCTTTCAATTTGTCAGGCTGCAGTATAAATACTCCAGACTGATGATGAGCTCTGAAGGTAAAGAGTGTGAGCTACCGACTGCTGACAGCTGTGCCATAATGGAGGGAGAGGACGCGGAGGACGACCTCATGGATCTCACTCATAAATCCTTCTTTACCAAAATAAAGTCTTTCTCACGAGAAGTCGGTGACTGTCCCATTTACATTTACATGGTGGTCAGTATCACCTTTAACATTGTCATTGTTTTCACAGAGAACATCAGATGGATTTGACTCGGTTCCACTCAAATCTTCTTACCAGCACCAACAAGAGGATGAAGAGGAGGAGGAGGACTGATGATGCTGAAAGAGGATGATAAGTAGCTCTTTGAACACTGAAGAAGCCTTCAGTTTTAGAGTTTTAATGTCTGTGCATATGTTAAGAGTTTTTGTAAAGTAAAACAGAGTACTTAACTAGTGAATGTTTATTTTCTATTCTATATCGCATGATGAAATTCTAAATCTGAAGTTAAAGTTCAAAATGTCCACACAGGTGTTCGCTGTGATTTTTAAACACGACTGAAACCTGAATGTAGTTACGGTTTACATGGATTTGTAAAGCCAATCATTTTAAAGGTATTCAAAATGGAGATACATTTATTTGCCCTCCTTTCATTATTTCATTTCATGAGTTTGCGGTAACACTTTACTTAAAGGGGTGTGCATAAGACTGACATGACACTGTCATAAACATGACATAACACCTGTCATGAACATAAAGAAGTCTTTATGAATGTGTATTTGCTTTTTAAGTTTCATAAAGTTGTTTCACATTCTTTATTGTTAAATACAATAGTCAAACAAACAAATTGTAAGAATCATCAGCAGCAGTTGATATGACTGTTTATTCAGCCTTCTTGTTCTCATTGTCGGCCCAGATAATATAATAAAATGTTTTGTTTAAAGTTTTTTCACCCACTACTGAGGCATGCTTTACTTATATTTTTACTTCAGTTACTTTTTACTGCTGTGGATAATATGAAAACTGTTGAATGTGGTTATTTTATTTCATTTGTTTTGAAATCAGATTAAGCTCTTTATTCAGTCAAGTTTGTTTTAGCATTATATGAATTGATTTAGTTTTTACTGCTGCCTTCTACATTGTCACATAAAAAATATATCATCAGCAGTTAAATTGAAAATGTATGCTTCCTTCAAGTGCTTATTTTAAAATGTGTTATTTGATGGATTCAGCTAATAAATATTTCCTTTTAAACCCATTTCAATATTGAGAAGCAGTTCTATTTTTTTTATCTGCATATTATTTATTCTTCTTGTCTGGTGAGAAAACCAAAATGAGTAGGAAACTCCACCCAGCAGGATTTGCGGATGCTGAGTTAAACATCAGGTTTTTGTTTTGTTATGCTCCTCATCTCATTCTTTGCAACATTTCACAATGTGGGTTGCACGACAGTGCTGTGGCTAACATTGTTTCTGGTGACTTGTCCACGTTGTATCCCAAAGACTGCATGGTTCAGTGGGAATAGAAAAGGGATGGTTTTCATCATTTTAAATATCACTTTTCATTTATCTGTTATATTTTTTTCTTTTGAAAACTAAATAATTGGAATGGAAAATTATATTTGAGCTATGGTGACATTGCAAATGTACATCTGACAGCTTTTTTTTTTATTTTACTTTGTTTTGTTATATTAGTATGTCCATACAGGCTTCTGGTACTTGTAGTGAAATGGAATATTTAATTTGTTGGATCCAAATGACATCCTGGGAAATTTTCCCCAATTTCTCCAATTTATAAAATAATGTTAAATGTGGTTATTTTCTGTTTGTAAGTGAGGATATACATCAGTATTGCACTTCCAGCAGTTTGACAAATGCAACTATTTTTTGTGTATTTTTTGGGGCCAAAATAATATGAAGAAATATTTTGAACAAAATTATATTTTCATTCCGAACATTATAGGATTCACTTTTCAGATGATGTGAAATCTATTGTTAGATAAAATCGATTTTTTTATTGTCCTTTTAATATTCAGTAATTAATAACATTTATGTAAACTATAAAAAAAAATCAATCGATTCAATTCTTCCTGTTTTTTCACACTTAAAAATAACAGATTTTTTTTTTCCATTTAGTACTCGAACGCAGCATTGGTTTCATTCGCGACTCCTCTTAAAGCTGTATGGAACTGACTTCTCGCGAGACTACACGTAGAAACCTCAGGAGCAGTATCTGACACTGGAAGAGAGGAACAAATGAAAGTGGAGAGTTAAAAGTGTGCACGCAACAGGCGGTGATTCTGCAACTTTGTGTAAGAAAACAACTTGAAGATCTACAACTGCGCGTAGATCTCCAGCAACAAGGGGCCGCCTGTATTATCTCCTGCTGCTGTTGTTTGTGTGACAGAGCTTTTCTCAGCTCGGGGGTAAAGAAGCAGCACGGGGCAGAAAGAGACGGTTGGTGGTCGACGGTTGGTTCTGCAGGAATGTCGCAGAAAGAAAGATCCGGATTTTACCTGCAGGAGGTCAATAAAACGATATGGGAAGTCCCGCGTCGGTACCAGGACCTGTCTCCGGTGGGCTCAGGCGCCTATGGATCGGTTTGGTAAATCACGTTTTCTGTAAAAGTTAAAGTGTGCAGAGTTGAGCCAACTAACTTCTCCATTCATTGAGACGAGGCCTGCAGAGGCTGAAGCTAAACTTAGGTTAGCAAGGTGGAGCTAGAATGGCTCTGTCAACATATATCAAGTTATTTTTTATTAAAATATGATTATTTTAGAACTATCAAACAAATCCAACGCTAAAGAGCAGCATTGTCATGAACTTTATTGCAGGAAGCGACTACTCTTATTTTGTCATTGGATCAGTCCCAAGAATGACTGTCTCGATCACATACTTCACATAGTGATCCGATTCCTCTTCGGTTAAATGGTTTTATAGGACAAGTAGTAATAGTACCGTAGTGTTTTTTTCTTCGATTAATTATTTAATCAGTTACGATCGTTTACTAGCTCTAGTTGTTCGAATGTGAAAAGTCGCTGGCAGATTTACTTCTTTGCAATTAAAGGGCTATGGTTGACCATGCATTGCAAAAGTACATAATGAACAATTGAAAGTGCAGTGAAATGTGTGATTTTTAGGTCTACTGTTTTCAAGTACTGCTTTCCTAATAATAGAAACAGCTTGTTCCTTTGGCAGCTAAATAGCAAATGTACTCTGATAATGAAACAAATCTGAATAACAGAAGCATTCGCATTTTTAAAGCGTAAGGAAGAAGCCACATCTTCCGATTTGCTATTAGTCTATTTTGTGCAAGGGTTGAGCTTTTTCATTGAGTTAATGAGTAGAGGTGGGATACATAGACTTTGAATGTTATATTTTATTTATTGTGATGATAAAATGGTGAAAACAAGCATTTTAGAAATATTTCCAGAATGTTTGGCTGTACTTTTTGTTTCTTTTGTTCTAATAAGTTACTCATCAAACAGGTTATTTCAGTACTTCAGTTACATTAGGTAACACAGCGTACAATAATTGTTTTCAAACATATTTTCAGATGTATTATTTGTTGACGCTCTTATGAAACTTACACTAGTAAAAAAAACTGAATAATGAATCAAATTTAAGAAAATCACACCTCCTAATTCTTTTAATTTATTGGGTTTACAGACACAATCAACTAGAGTTTACTGTTGTAATCAAAAATGACATGGCTTATCACACTACTCATTTTTTCTTGATAAGGATTAAGACTATGATCGTCTTTCCATAGCAGTTATTGCATTCTTTATTATATAGTAAAATATAACTTTAGGATTTAGTGAGGTCTGCTTGAGATGCGACATTTTGGGTGCCACTCCATAAAGGTTTTAGCATCTCAGTCACATGACTCTTTGATCATGCATGGAGGCACAGCATAGTTTAAAGTCCTTTCACCTGGCTCATTGTGTTGGCATGCGGAATGTGAACGCATAGGACTTGAAGTATAACAGCGTTTCAGACGTTACTTCTTTTCCATTGTTAATTTCAATTCAACTCTTAAAATCTAATCGAGAATATTTGGAAACCTCAAAGACTTGAAAGTATCATTTTCTATTAGTTTTTTCCACTGTTGTTCCATACGGATGTATGATTGATCGCTACTATTGCTTATGCTCTATGACTATTGATTACAGACTATTTTGACTATTTGTAATTGACCAACATTTTTGTCTCAGCTTTCTTTCTTTTCTGTCTTCCAAGTGCTCCTATCACTTCTCATGAGCTCTTACGTCTCAGTCACTAAAGTCTGTATCTGGGTTGGGCATCGAAAGCAGAGAAAAGTCCTTTTTGTCTGTCAAAGTATATTGTTTGCATGCAGAACATTAATGCAGGGCATACGCGGAACACCGTGTTACAATATGTTGTGCAGCTCTGCCCTTGCTGCTATCTTAGTAAAACATAATGACACATAGGTGGGGAGCAGATGTTTGTTTTGCAAATGGAAACAGGCATGTGTGCCAGGCGATGAGGTAATCCGTCTCTGGTTAATGACCTCGCCTTGTTTTTTTGTTTGTTTTTTTTCCCTTTAATAAATCAAGCAGTTTTATAGTGATGCATACAATCGATAGACTTTATTTTATCCTGATGCATTTAAGGGCAAAGGGCACCATGCCTGCTCTTTAATATCTGAGCATATCAGGGATTGATCGGGCCAGCCTTCATTTCACTAATATCCTGTTTTTGTAATAAAACCGCCCTAATGTTTGTACTTTGTCAATAAAGCAGGAAATGGGGCACAATTAATGACACAGATATGACCTATAATATAATTTCAAATGCTGTAAATTTGTCAGTCTATTATTTTAGACAAATGGCAAACATGTTGAATTCATAATCGCAAAGATGCAATTCAAATTAGTAATACACCTGTAATCCAGGGATCAAAGTTGTCATATTTTCGCTTAACAATATTTGACAGGCAAGATGCAAGTCTAAATTCAAAAATATCTTTTTTTTTTTTTTTTTTTTGTTTAAGTTTTACCAAATGTACCAGAACCGAAAATCTCAAAATGCAGCTAAAGATTAGAAACATGAGCTTTGATGCATAAATGGAGTCGTCTTGAAATCCCTTCTTTTTCCTGATGGTTTCAAAACCATTTCCTCTGTCAAAGAAGCTGCAGCACATTTTCTTTTGTCTGTGTTTGTAACATTTAGTAGTTGATATGAAACAAAGTCTTTATGTGCTATGGATAAATTCAACAAGTAATGTTGCTGCCGGTAAACAGTCGAGCTTTAAGTGAAGTGAGAAATCGCCACGGTACAGTAATTATTATTATTATTATTCATCTCAGTTGAAAGCTGGTTTCTGCCTGCAGCAGCTTTTACAGTAAGATGGAGGAAGCCGGCTGACGGGGTGGAGGATATGTTACTGTCAGAGACCCGTCCCAATCTGCTGAGACGTGACATTTTCTGCTGATGCCTCCCATTTCTCAGCCTTCAGTTCAATTCACTACACCTTATTTTGTTTTGAGAGCAAACTCAGCCGCATGAGCCGTCTGAAATCTGCTTTATCAGCCTTAATTGAAGAAGCTCGCTTTGCTGCATTTATTGACTTAATACCTATAACCGAATAAAAAAAAAAAAAAGTTACAGTGCAGTCATATATATTTTTTTTGGTTTTCTTTTAAGGTTAAATGTTGTTTTTTTTCCTCTTTCGCTCAACAGTTCTGCATATGATGAGAAACTGGGTTTGAAGGTCGCTGTGAAGAAGCTTTCCCGACCTTTCCAGTCCATCATCCACGCCAAAAGAACCTACAGGGAGCTGCGGCTGCTGAAACACATGAAGCATGAAAATGTGAGTGGGCTGCTTTCTTCTGTTTCTTTCTTCCTGGAGGCAAACAGGCTTAAAAAACAAATACTTATTTGATGCTTAATATTGTTTGTTTGAAGAAATCTGCGTCTCAGTGAAGGTTATATTTTCTGCTCTCTGTGTTTTTAATTTCAGTGTGGCTTTCTTTCTTTCTTTCTTTCTTTTTTTTTATAGGTCATTGGGCTCTTGGATGTTTTCAGTCCTGCTACAAGTCTAAAAGAATTCAAAGATGTGTAAGTTTGTTTGTTCTAGATAATTGCATTAATCCGTGTTTTCTATTAAGAGAAGTATATCTGTATAATTTAACCAGAGTGAAGGTAGCACAACTGGTAGCTTCTGGACAGCAGTCAGTCCAAACTCAGGTTGGAAAACCCCTGGAGTCTGGCCAGCAGACTAATTACATTGGCGCACTTTTTTTTTCTTTCTTTTTTTTTTAAAGGATAGTCTGTTACTTTCTTTACCATCTGGCTGCTACAAAACATTTAATCCTTCCTTATTTTGCAGAAATGCAGACATTTTTAAACATTTTGCTTCTACTTGCAAGTAGATTATTTTGAAATTGGAAGTGCAGTGCTCCTGTTGCAATCTAAAGTCGGCATACACTAGTAGTGGTGTGAATATAATTTGCTTATAATTATCTACACCAGCGATTCCTTTTCTTTTTTCAAAGCAACTTACTACTTCGGACGTTAAAAAACAGGAATTGGATGCATCTGTTTAAATTTATTTAATTCACACAGGGTGAAGATTATAGACATGTGGTCTAAAGCTGCTCAGTACGCCTGCAGTTCTGTGCTACATTTTGGAAGATTATTTTTCTGGTGCTCTGCATGCAAATTCTGCATGTCAAAAATATTTTTGGCCTGTTGGAAAGACTCGCATCTCCCACAGTGCTGCTCACACGCACCAAATATTTCTACTGATGGGAACATTGTGACGAAGGAAAAAGTATTGAAGTTACTTGCTTTTCTAAAATTGTGCAACCAAATATGTATATATCTACACTCGTATTGGGTTAAATGTGTCTTGGTCTATTGCACAGACCACCTTTTTTGGTTTTTTAATTAGTTTTTTGTTAAAGTTCCTGGTGTATTTTCATTTCGTTCCCGCCAGTTTTTAGTTTTCCTCATCAGATGGGCTCTGGGGGGAAAAAAAATGTGGTGCGTCTTCCTGCTTCCGCAGGCGGTTTCACTTTGCATCCTTTAACTGTCCCACACTCATTCCACACGGCATTATCCCTTACACTTTGTTATAGTTATGGGTTTTGACTACCTTCTGAAGTTGTTCAGGGTTATGTAACTTTGGTTGGAGTGACTTCAGGCCCCCCTCCTCTCCCCCCGTTTATGTTGGGACCTTTCAATGGATTATGGTGTCTAAAGAAGACTCTGATCACTGAGCGAAGGGTTTGTCTAGACGGAGATGAAGTCTAGCTGAATTATATCTAAGGTAGTTCTTGTTCTGTATTTACAACTGTTCACTCAAACCATGTGACACGATGCTCCCACCACCATGCTCGCCAACAGGTCAGTATCGTTGGGTTTCAGCCCTCACTCTGACTGCTCTAAATTTTAATCTCGTCATTGTGACTCAACAGTCGAGTCTTTGTCTCATCTTGACCACATTTCTTTTCTCCAGAAGACATTGTGGCTAGACCATGTGAGCGACAGATACTTCAGTCAAGCTTGATTGTGTTTACTTTCTTGGTCAGCGGCCTCTGGGTTCATGTTAGTAATTTGGCTTCACTGTGGATGGTGATGCTGGTGTTCCAGTTAATGATTGGCTTGAGCCTGGCTCGTTCCTTGGTCTGTTCCTGGACAACCCAGACATTCACTTATCCATAATTGCTTGAACCTGTGACCCTGTAGTCTTCAGTTGTCCAGAAGTGCCTCTAAATGGCTTTCACAGTGTATATTTAATATTTCACTGGCTGCTGTCAAACAAATTCTTTTATACTTTCAACTACCAGCTACAGTCAGTCAATGACTGTAGCTGGTAGCTTCTCTTCCTAATGAGACTTACCACGGACTTACCACGCTGACACTTCCTAGGACCTCTAGGTGAATGAAAGTGTATATTTGAGCCTGCATTGATCGTTTAGAAAAGTTTTCAACACTTTTGATCATTTTTATTGATTTAGACGATCATGCTTGTTCATCTAAATCTGTTTCTTAGGAAGCGAACGCAAAGAGCATCCAAAATCAAAATGCCAGAAACTAGGCTCTGAAAGAAAGGAGATGATGGATGTTAACATCAAAAGCAGCGATGGAAGAAATTTATAGTTTTGGCAACAGGAAACTTGACTGCAATCACTTATTCTCTGACTTTTTTTCTGTTGAAAACGAATAAATAAATATTAGTTGTCAAGCAATCAAGAGTTTAGGATTTCTCACAGGTTCGTTTTAGCCTTGGGCGGTCTTTTTAGATGCAGACAAGCCCATTTGTGGATCCCTTCAGCTGCTTCCTGAGCATCTAAACAGCATCGTAACCTCATTATTTGATAACATCTTCGTGTGTAATAGTTGCAAGTTGGAAACAGTAGCTTCATTCAGGCACGATTAATCACGAGACGGTTCATTCAGTGTCGGGCTGTTTGTAGCCGGGACTCTGAAGTGGCATGGTCCCGTTTGTTGACTAAGCTCTAAGCTTTCTACACTCTACTGGTCTGATTGGTAGAAAATACTTATCTGTTTCTGTTTTTATTTGAAGTGGGCTTTTTGTGTGACCGTACATGCATTAAAGGATGCAACCTGCCCTGTGTGGCAGTGTTTCCTGTTGCATAAAAAAAAAAAAAAAAATGGTCACACAGGTCCTTGCCGCATAGATGGTGCAAGAAATGTAGCAGGTGCAATTCTCAGGCTTCACCTTGGAGTCCGTGTCTGTCGCTTCACCACAGAGGTATTTATATCGATGCCAGTTCCAGCTTCTGCATGGTGGATTGTGGGTTTCAACAGACCTGCTTCAATTACCAGAGACTCTAGCAATCCACATTAGAGAAAAGATTTTTTCTGACGTTCTGATAGGTTTGACCTGATCCAGATCTCGCCTTAAAAACCAGATTTATTTCTTTGAATTTGTTGTTAGAGCAGCAGCGACATCTTCAGTAATAATTTTGGAGAAAGGCGATGAGTGAATAAACTATCTTGAGCATGTTGTGCTTGCAATTGCTGTGGTTAGGATAATTGAATGTAAACTGCCATGAGAATGTAGTTTCATTTTGAACAACTTCTTGCACCTTTTGTGCGTTCTCTGAATTTAGTTTTAAACACCTCACTGAACTGCAATTGGTGTTTTGTTTTTTTTCCCACACGATAGTAGCTTCCACACTGAAGAGTGTTGTATACTTAGTATGACTTGCCACCTCCTGGGTGTGACTGAAAATAAATGGGATGTATGAATTTCCAACCTGCTGAAAATAACCTGATTCTCATGACCAATAGGCCTTTGTCTGTCTGAGTTGCTGTTGCCAGGTCAAAAACAAACATGTTAAAAGTTGGTTTGATTTAAGAGGGTTTGGCAAAACCCTGCTTTATTACAAAGAGGGTTGTGCATGAGCAAGTTTGAAACCAGTCAACAGCAACAGTGTTGTAATCTTTTTTTTTTTCCCACTAGAATCAACTCCATCACGCTACAAATCTTTGTCTACATCAACCTTTGAATCTTCCAAAGCTTTAGGATGAATAAAGGAGCAGAATACTTTCGTAACTCTTGATTTTTCATTTTAATATAAAAGTTCTCTGACGGTGCAAGCAGGTGCTCCTGGGCTGAGCCAATTGTCTGCAGCGTAAAGAAAACTGGTGCATTTATATGAGACATCACTTGAGGCCAAACCTCATATCTGCAATGCATTTTAGCTTATTTTTGGTAGAAGTGTTTTGAAAAGGAAGACTCGTGACACTTTAATTTTTTCATAATTGTGGTTTTTATTTTATATTATTATTACCTCTGTGGTGCAGTGGTATTGATATGAATAAAAATATAGCTGCAGTGCTTGTGGTTTGCTATTGCACTAGACTTAAAAGGCTCACGTTGATTTAACTTTTGAGGCAATAACATAGGACTTGAAATGCAATTTCAGAGAAAACCTTAAATATTTACAGAAGTTTGGATTAAGCCAAAAATGGGGAAGAAAAAAAAAAAGAAGAGATTGATTCTCTTGGGTTCTCCTGCCACGCTTCTCTCTCTTATAGGAGAATGGAAAAACATAGGTCACTATTTATACGCCGTTTTTCCAAGGCGGGTGAACCTCTCTCTCTCTCTGTCTGCGTATCTGATCTGTGTGTGCCGCCAAGCACAAGTCCCAGCATTGAAATGTGCTATTTTAAGCCCTCGAACCCCACACTCTGTGAGAATAGAATAGTATTCATGAAACCTGTATTTGTTTAGCAACAGACTGACGAAGCGGCAGCACACTCATCCGTTAGCTTTTGCTCCCGTATCGCCTCTCAAGCGGTGGCGCTCACTCAGTCTTTAAGTGCTTTTGATTAATTTTAAGCTGTTCTAGGATTGGATTTAAAGTATCCGCTGATGCCATTTAGCTCATTTATCCTGTGTGCTTGTCAAGTGATATTACATTTGTAAAGGGCTTGACCTTTCAGTGTCCCGAGAGAGAAGTGAAAAGAAGTAGCTGCAAAACTGGTTTAAGCTTTTATTGCCGTGTGGGGAAATAAAGCTGCGGCCTCCAAACTGGCCTTCCAGAATTAGATTCAAAGAGCAAATTTATTTATTTCAAGCCCCTCTCTGACTTCTGTTGAGTTTGGAAGTTATTGAGATTTCTTGCTTCAACTCTGACGACAATCTTTTTTACGACCGACAGGTATCTCGTGACTCACCTAATGGGAGCAGATCTGAACAACATTGTCAAATGTCAGAAACTCTCAGACGACCATGTGCAGTTCCTCATATACCAGATCCTCCGAGGACTGAAGGTGAGGTCATTCAGGAAGAGCATGTTTCCACATCGTTTTCGTTTTTCGTATTATGCCATCTTTTTAGGGAAGTGCACCAAAACACCCACACACACACACACACACACACACACACACACACACACACACACAACATGATGCTGCCACCGTCATGCTTCACAGTTGGTTTGGTGTTTTAAGGCTCACAAGCTTCCCTCCCGACCCTCCCACCCCTTTTTTTTATTCAATTACAATGAGGGTCGTTATTATCAAACTCTTAAATTTTACTTCCATCAGCCCACAGGACTCCAAAGATGATTTTTTTTTTGTGCTCGAGTCCATTGATAATCTATAATCTGGCTTTTTATGCTGCTTCTTGATAAAAGACCAATATTTCACCGTGACTAATAGATACCATTTTCTCATCGTCTCCTTGAGAAAAACACCTTAAAATACACACACAGGGATCAGAGGCTTACACAGCCATGACATTATCATCTGGGATTTACTTAGTCGCTAAAAGGCAGAATAATCGTGGTGTATTTTAATCTTCTGTATTTAACAAAGTAATAAAAAAAAATCATCTCCTCTGGCATTAAGGAAGTGTAAATAATTTTAATAATTTCAGCTGAGCTAAAATAAGAAATGGTCCGAGTTAAACTCACACAGAAAACAAAAACAGCTTCCTTTTATTCACAGTGATGAATTTAGCAGAACATGATGTTTAAGGCATATGTATAATCTATGAAATGGATGGGATTAAAGGAAGTAAGTTTGTTTTTTTTGTTGTTGTTAGAATACCCTACGTATTCAGCTTATGGTTAAACTGTTTTATCTGCCAAAACCTCAGAAATGTAAGACTAAATTAATAATAAAATAGTAATACATTTACAAAGAAGTAATTAACTCAAATATTTATATTATAGAAAATGTTTTTTTTTTCTTTTCTTTATTTTAGACTTTCTTGATCCCCATTTCCATTTTTTTCTTTAAATTTGACTTATTTTACATGTATTCTTGTCTGGAAGCGATGTTTAATTTTTCACTTTCTACACTTAGTTATTAAAACTAGCTTATTTGTGTATTTATTTAGTGCAGTACTTTATGTGTTCCTGCTTTATTATGGAGTGGCAGCAGCCTGTTAATCACACTATCAGTGAGACATGATGGACAGCTTTGAAATAAATACTGATTGATGGAAGTTGTTTGTATTTTAACATTTGAGTATTTAAATTAGATTTATATTTAGTCTCCATTCAGGCAGTTTCAGTCCTTCATAGTAATGAATGCTGTACATCCTGAAAGCTGGGTCTGATTATTCTTAAGGGTTTTTGGTTCTACATTCTGTTTTTTTCAGGACTAATCAGTTTCTCGGGTTCAAACCGGTGTTTCTGCCAGTTCTTTGTCTGTCTGCATCTTAGTGGTTTGGAGTTTAGTTGCATTTTTTGGCGCTACACATATACTTTCAATGCAAGTCCTGTTTCATTGTTCACTAATCGGCTTAATGTGTTAAGTTGGTGCTGAAGCATGTCTGTCTGTTCCTCCATAACAATTGGAGGTTTTTGTTGCTGTGAACGCTACGTGTTAACGAGTCACTCTAGTAAACAAGTTCTTTCAGTAAAAGTACTGGTTATACAGGTACTCTACGTGCATGCACAGGCTTTCCGCTCGAGGACTGGCATCGTGGATTAATTTGAGTTTCTAAATTGTCCTTAGGAATGATGATGCGTATATGAGTGATTGTTTGTGTGATGAACTGGAGTCTGTGGTATTCCACACCTCTCGACCTTTAGTTTCTATCTTCTCGAGCTCGGATCTGCTAAAATCTCTGCTGTGATATTTTGTCGAAGTTTCATGGCATTACTTTTACTATGGATGTTATTTTTTTAATGAAAATTATTATTTGAACAAAGCATAAATGAAGTATCTAATTTTCCTGAACAAAAATCAATAAACTCTCCACTTATCATTCCAATTAAAACTTGAGATGAATCAGTGGTTCCAGCATTCTGTCAGATTTTCTAACGTTTGTATTTTTTTCTGTTCTCAGTATATCCACTCAGCGGGCATCATCCATAGAGTAAGTGTTTAGTTCAACCCCTGTCTCACCAATATTACCATCTTTAATGCTGAATTTGGGAAAAGTGGAAGTTGTCATCATTAGTCTTTGCGTAGAGTGTGCAATTTTTAGATGGCTAACATTTCATCATGCCAGCTATGCAGCATTTTTTTAATTTTAAGACGAGTGAAACATACATGACGATTATTTTTAAAATACAAAAATACATTTACTGTCTGGACTGGACGACCAAAATGTCTCGCATTCATTACTTTTCAACCTCGCAGGATTTGAAACCTGGCAACCTTGCCGTAAACGAAGACTGTGAGCTAAAGGTCAGTAAGCTCTCTAATTCACACCATTTTATCTAAAATGTTTTACGGATGCTAATATTTGCCTGTCTCATATCAGATATTGGACTTTGGCTTGGCGCGGCACACTGACGATGAGATGACCGGCTACGTTGCCACGCGCTGGTATCGTGCTCCAGAGATCATGTTGAACTGGATGCACTACAACATGACAGGTTGAGTCAGTTACGATCCCGTTACCGTTTCCTTATTGAGAGCCTCTCTATTAGGTCAATTCTTACATTTGTGTTTGTTTTAGTGGATATTTGGTCGGTGGGATGCATTATGGCAGAACTTCTAACTGGGAAAACTCTGTTTCCTGGCTCAGACCGTATCCTTTCCATGAGGTGGAGCGCAGTTGGAGGAGCATTCACTCTGCTGGATGTTTTTAATTGTCCGGGCAGATTATTTTTTTCTCCTTGCTGGTTCCAGCTTCTTTGTGAAGTTGTCCTATTATTTTTTTTTTTCCTTCAGGCTATATTAAAATAGTTTACTTTTGTAATATTTGTGACATTTCAGCATTCTGTTGTAGATGAAGTTATGCAGCATCTCCTTGACACAAGCTTTGTAGATATAAACCAGCTTCAGCAGATAATGCGTCTGACAGGAACACCCCCAGCAGCGCTAATCAACCGGATGCCCAGCCATGAGGTGAGAATGACCCACCCTTTGCTTTCCTGGCAGAGAACAGGAGGAGGTTGACGGAAGATGTTTGCTGCACAGCCCTCTTATCAATGCTCTGGATTTTATCACAACACATTAGCTCAAAAACTTACCTTCACAATATCATTGTGTGCAGTGATAATGTTGCAAGAGATTGTATGGAATACATTATTTTTTGGGAGGTTAAATTTCAATTGTTGTGATTTTTCAATACGATAGTCAGCCTGTTTGTTGGGGTTTCACCTGTTAGATGACCAAATCTTAATACATGTGGTGATGCATCAGAGCAGTGTGAGATTTTATTTTATTTTATTTTTTTTACAAATGATATACAGTCATTGCAAAATATAATGGTAAACGTTGCAAAGGTTTTAGTTTCAGCAAAAAAATGTTGAGACATAATAGTAATACAGATGGCTTTGTCAATTGTTTGCAGTTAAAAGCAATTATACCTACTTAAATATTCATAATACTGAATTGAAAAAATTTAGAAAAATACAACTTTTTTTCTCAATCTCAACTTTTTGAGGAAAAAACTGAAATATATATTTTCAGTTTTTCCATCTTTTTAGGTTTTATTTTTTGACAGAAAGCTGTAAAGTATCTACTCTCTTCATCACAACGGGTCCATGTTTATTGGAAAATAAAACGAGTGTAAAACTGTGGCCATGCCTCAGAAATTTGACTTCCAAACAGAGTTGGGTTTATGTAGATGGAAACCGAAACGGTCTGTACTGACATGCTGCTGCTTGTGGAGACTGACACTTTGTTTTCTGCATTGATGTGTTTACCCAGGCCAGGAATTATGTCAGCTCTTTGCCTCCTATGCCCAAGAGGAACTTTGCTCATGTTTTTATTGGTGCTAACCCACAAGGTAACAAGCAAAAAAACAAGATTTATTCATTTATTCATTTTTTTTTTCCCCCGAAGCATAGACTGAGATTCAGCTTTATTAACTCGTTGGCCTTTTCTCTCTGAAGCGGTGGACCTTCTGGAGAAGATGCTGGTTCTGGACGCAGACAAGAGGATAACAGCCACTGAAGCTCTGGAGCACCCTTACTTCTCCCAGTACCACGACCCAGAAGACGAGCCCGAGGCCGAGCCTTACGACCAGAGCTTTGAAAGTAGAGAACTGGAAATCGATGAGTGGAAGCGTACGTTTCTGCGTCCTAACATCTTGTTTATGGAGAAAAAAGAAAAAAAAAATCTGAGGAATTTTGATCTTGTTTTCAAGTCTTGTAACATTTTCTCGTTTCTTGCAGGATTGACCTATGAGGAGGTGTGTAGTTTTGTGCCACCTGATTACATGGAGGATTGAGATGAGCTGCAGCTACAACATGTGCATTAATGTTAAAGCCTTCAGGCACACAATACCAGCTATTTCTGAGTCTTTATTTCAGAAATCTTAAGAGATTTTTAAGGAGATTACTACTTTTATATGAAAATGCAAAAACTGGACCAGCAATAATCATTATGTACCACTGATATTGTTTGTTTTGGGGTTTTTTTTTGTTGTTGTTGAGGAATTTCACTTTTGCCAATATTTAAAAAAATGTATGTATTTAAATTTTTAGCTTTTAATTGTTTTTAATTTAAACTTCAACTCGACTGTGACTTCTGAGGCGATGAGACAACGGACCTACAGCTCTGCTGATTTGTTGAGTAACTTATAAATAAGCTGTTTTCTATTAATTATAAAGAAAGCATGCTCATCTACAATCCAGCTGGTCAATCTGTGGTACAATTTTTGATTTACCACAATTACTCTGATGCCTAAAAAGAGAAATCTTTGAACATTTCGGTGAATTTCAAAACACCAGCCTATTTTTTATTTTTTTAATGCTTCTTCAACCCTCCCAGCTGAATTTAAAGACTTTAACATGTGATTTCTTTAGATACTGTGAGATCTTTCACAAGTATATCTGAGCCTTTTCTGGTTAAATCTAGGTAACATGCCCAAAATATGTAAATATGTGTCAGTCTTTATGTTTTATGTGGTTCTAAAGCATCCGAAGTTAGCATGTACATGAAGGCATTGTGTGGTGTTGACTTTGGGTTACGATTTTTAGTATTATGCTTTAACCTGTAACTGCTAAACAGTGTAAAACGGGGAGTTGTATTTATTCTATGTGGAGTAGGTATTTAAGAGCAACAATCGGTCTGCAGTTTACTTGATATCTCCAGTCCTTTAAGAAAATAAATACTTATTTTTTAAGAGACATGTGTTTTGTGTTCTAGTTTCCAAACTGATTAGTTTGTCTTATCTCAAAAGGTATTTATTGTGGGATCTGTATTAATGAAATTTCATAAACCTTATGGTAAGTCTTGTGCTGTGGGAAAAAATAAATTAATTAATTCCATTGTGTTTCTCATTTCCAAAACCCTCCAGTTCTTTGAGTATATAGATGCCTGTGAATAGAGGTATTGAACTTCTGATTGAAAGATGAATGCTAAACCTACTTAATATGCTTGTTTACACAGCATAAGCTTATAAGGTTCTTCCTGAAGTATTTATATCACTTGAACGTTTTCTCATACAACCAGGCAAATATTTTAGTCTCTTGGCCTGTAAAGCTGGTGGACATATCCAAAAAAGACAAGCAAGTGCAGTTGGAAGTCTTTTCACATACAGATTAATGTGAAAGTCGTATAATTTTCCTTTTTATTCAGAATTATGCTCTAGTTTGTGTTGGTCTACCACACACACAACAAAACATTGAGGTTTGTGGTCCTAATGTGAATTTATATGAAGAAATTTGATGGATATATGAATATTTTGCAAGGCACAGTTTAGGACCTTACTGTCTTGTCTCTGAACATAGCACTGGAATTGGTATGAGCATGAATTGTTCATACAATTTAGAGGGAATATCAACTGGAAAAAAAATATTTTTGGACATATTCACATGACATTAACATGCAAACAAATAAGAATAAAAATTCATTATCAGTCAGGATCTCATAAGGAACGTTTAAGCTATGAATCACAGACGAGAAATATTTATAGGCTTCATTCATATTCAACTCTAGTATCTGGCACAAACCATGCTGTAACATTTATTTTGTCAATGGCGCAAACCATCTAACCTCCCCGTCCTGCAGAACTGCCTGGCAGCGTCACTGAAGCCTCTTTTCAGGAAGAACAACCAACCATAAGGTTGAGGCACGAGCACCAATCCCTATCAGTGCCATCGCCTGCAGCTTCAAGCGAGAGAAATTCATGAAAAAGGATTAAAGCTCAGGTTCGGACGTCACTAGGGAAGCTCTGCTTGGGGCAAAACTAGCCAGTGCGCATGCGTGGAACATTCGATCACTGGTGGCGTAGCTAGCTGCTAGGCTACGAATCCAGCCACCATGGAGAGGAAAGGTAAGTCTTTACGCGACAGCCTGCAGACCATTTCAACTGAGTTACGCCATGCATGTGATTACTCTATAGCTGATGTTGCTATTGCTGCTACAAATGTAAAGTGTAGTCAAGCTGTCGTTGTAAATATATGTGGCTTATTTCACCGCGTCTGTCACGCACTGCGCTGGAGCGAGCTTCGTTAGCTTCATTAGCTTTAGCTTCAGTGTCAGGATTAACGTTGTACTTTTAGCTTTCCAGCTCTCTCTATATTTAACACAACCTAAACCCCTGACGGTGTGGTATATTCATGGTATGGCGTGTGATATTACTTCATGCCGTAGTGGCGTGTTGTTGCTGTCCGGTGGCGTTGGTGGGTAGCCCGGTGATGTTATTTAACGGGGTTTGTGCATACACTGAGGTGCACCCATTTATACATTTGTGTATATGTGTGTGTGTGTGTGTGTAAATAAAGTCTGACTGGTGTCGGTAGCCACAAAGACGACACAATTCAATGCACAATGAAGTTGAGCAGAGCCTATAATGCTAATTAAGTTTTAACAGATCTTCTTTGTTTCATGCCTTTTTGTCTCAAGTGTCAACTGCAGATCAAACGACAAACAATGGCAACAGGATTTCTTTCTCTTCTCTTTTCAGTTCTAGCACTCCAGGCAAGGAAGAAGAGGGCCAAGGCGAAAAAGACCAACAAAAAGTGAGGTTTATTGTCGTTTTATACCATCTCCTATTTTAATATTGTGCCAAAGAACATCATATTGACATGCGTCTTGTCAGCTGAGTTCAGTTAAAGGGTGTTGCGTCCTGCGGTTTCACACTTTTCCTGTCACTTGCTGGCTCTGACGTTGATTGTGGCGTGGGTAATTTAACAAATGCAACTCATTGTCTCAATTCATAACAATGGATCCCATATGGCTCACTTCCACAGCTTTCAGAGTTTTGCATCTTGTCTGTGTATGTATTGGCTTGGCTGTTCTGATAATATCTTAGTAGGCTTTATGTTTTATGAAAAACAAGAAATTGTACTTACTGAATATTGCAATGACGGTATTTTCCAGCCACATTCCCCTCACTCCTTTCATTTCTGTCACCCGCCACTGCCGTCTGAGTTTCAGCATCTTTATCACTCGGCTCTAAAAGAGAGTGAAACTTAATCTAGCTTCAAAAATATGACTGGCAAGACAGATTTTCAGTGCATGTCATTTAAAATGTATTCATCCACCAAAGTAATTTGCCAGTGCAATACTCCGCATAAATATTGTGCATCTCTATATTGAGGCAAGGCTTTTGTTCGCTATGTTCTGCTTGAAGTAATTGTTTGGAAAAATGTTAAAGGAGCTGTATCAAAACAAGTCAAACTAAAACATTAAGATTTTTTTTTTTAAATACACCGACACACCGCAATAATTTTAGAACAAATGACAGCTAGTCGTCTCTTATTCAGATGAGTAATTTAGACTTTCAACATACTGTTTAGTTAATTAAGCTGTCCATAGTTTTATTTTACGTGATCCCTGGGAATTGCCAAAACTGCAACCTTTTTTGGAGAGGATGACATATCTAGTAGTGATGGTACAAATCAAGCTTCATTGGCTAAGTCAGAGAGTTGGTCTCACTTGGCTCTTTTCTATAACTTTCAGTTGTGTTTATGAGCATGAAGTGGCCCTGGATAGCAATCTGTGCCACATTTAGGCCATCTTTTTGCACACACTGTACAATATAATTGGGCTGAAATAAATCAACCAAGTCCCTTACTGATAATATTGCCAGGATATGATACAGTTTAACGAAGCGTCGTTTGTAGCTGAGAATGAACTGTTGACATGGACATGTCGAACTGGTTGTTTTGTTGCATCTAACAATGTAATTGTCCTAACGGCACCAGTGACATCCTACAGAGTGTTATGTAACAGCCTGAGCTATATTTAAAACTAGAGAATGAAGAAGCCCACATCAGCCCACTGAAGCATGGCGTTTCTCTGAAAACGTTCCGCTTAGAAATACTTCTCTCCAGGCAACTTGCCGGCATGGCATCACAGCAGAGCTGCCGCTAAGAACTATTTATTTATTTATTTATTTATTTAATTTTAATTACTTTTAAACAACTGCTTCATTTGATATAAATAACAACTTGATTTTCATAAATCAAAAGCTATTTCATGGTTTAGTTTATATTTTATAAACCGGCTTTGACAGAACTGACAGATGTTGAGACAAAAAGTGTGGTTAGATGGCTGTAAAGTGCAAACCAAAGTTGACAAAAGCAAATAATGTGAGAACTTGTTGATTCGTCTCTTACTGTGAAGGATGTTGTGCAAGTCAAATGTGCTGAAGTGGAAGAATTGATGCACCTCCAAAGGGACAAACAAAATGTATTTTTCATGGATTGCTTTTGTGAAAGTTATTGTTGGGGTTTTAATGTTTCCATGGAACATACAAATGATTTGTAATTTTGGATTTTATTATTTTAGTAGAAATGGATTGGATGGGTTAAATAAATGTTTGGTCTAAACGTGTCTTTAAGCCTTGACTAGAAAAGCAGCAGGGAGACGATGTGAGTGAATCCAGCAGCTTAGGCTGAGCTTGTATTTTTTTGTTGGCTCATCATTGATCCCTGAGTGTCTTTGCGTTACTCACAAATTTTAGATTCTTTCTGCTTTTGGAAACTTCTCAAATATTTCAGGATCCAGTGCCTTCAGTCCTGAAATGGATGAGGTTTTGTGCCATGATTGGTTTGAAACTATATCTAGTAGCAATGCTAATATTGACTGCACGATATGTTGTGAATATATTGTCATAATGTAAGTGTGCAATATTGATGCTGATGTAATGGAGAAATATATAATTAATGAAGTCCATATATTTTAAAGGTTTAAAATCACATTATTGCAAATCCCTTACAAGGAAAACTGTCGAGGGTAAAACGTGTTTGTGTGTAGCATGTATCAATATTTATTGTTTTTAATGAAGACAGATCATCCGTCTGCTGACATGGAACCCAATAGTTTTTTTTCAGTGTGCTTCCGTTTCATTTTCGCGCTACTGAAACCTGGAAGCTCCTCGTTGAAATTTTCCTCAAAAAACTATTTATA